CCCCCCCCTCGCCCCCAAGCAAGGAGAATCTTCCCCAGAGCAACCCTCTGTCATCCCTCTGCACACACTCATTCCTCCGTGTTAAGATCCTTCCCCATTTGTTCTGGAAGGCTCCATCCAAGGCTTACTTCCTCTGGTACCACGTGGCCTGGGTCAGGGTCCCCTCCCTTGTGCCCTCACAGCATTGTGCCTTCATAACGCTGATTACACCTTTAATTCCCTTTTTAAATTTCACCTATACTTCCTCCTAGGAAGTATAGGTAAAGGGCCCTCTATGCCCTTCAAGTATAAGCTAAAGGGCCCTCTATGCCCTTCATTTCTGTGATCCTAGGCCTTAGTGCAGTGTCTGGTACACAGCAGACTCCTCTGTAAGTACCAGCTGCATGAACGAATAAGTGAATGGCTGAATGAGTGGGTAAATCGTGGCCTGAGAGTGACATAAAACATAAAGCAAGCAAGCAGGCTAGGGAGTCTGGGAGTGTGACTTTTAAAGGCCAGGAGGAGGAAGAGCCAGGGCGGAGCAGTCAGAGAGGCTCACAAGGAATAATAAGCACGTGGTCCCGTGGATTTGGGGAGAGTAGGGTGTTTCGGGATGAGCGGTGCACACGCCAGTCATTTCCCAGCTGCGGGAGGGGGCAGGCGGCAGCCCAGACACCTCAGGCTTTTGGTGCAGGCTGGTGTTTCCTATTGAGTCTCTTCCCTACCCTCTGGGAGGAAGAGAGAAGAAAACAGAGAAGGAAGAGGAGACCTATTTGCCTGCCTGCAGTAGGTCAGACCCCAACTCTCAAAAGCGCTCCCCCTCCTCCCCTCCCACTGTGCCTTTCCTGCAGAAAGTTCATCGAGCTCTAGGAGGGACCCCCAGAAAGTGCGAGGGTCCCATCATCCTGCTCTGGGGCCATTTCGGCATTGCTGGTCTGATGGTTTTACTTGTCTCCACCCCTCATTTGACTGCAAGTTTCCTGAGCACAGGGTCATGCCTGTTTCACACAGACATCCCCAGCACCTAGTGAACAGTAAGTACTTGGTAAATGCACTTTGGATTCTGGGTGAACAGCACTGAGTGCATAGTTTTCCCATCTGCCCCAAGCCTCTTGAGTTTATCATCCATTCAGCTCCTCCCTTAGGGAGTGAGGCACAGCTATGCCCTTGAAGCCCTCAAAACATATCTGGATGCAGTTTTTACATGAACAGGAGGGAAGGCCCTTTGGGATAAAGAGAATGGACTCTAGACTAAATCCGGATCAGAACTCTGGTCCTGCAACCTATGAGCTCAGTAACTTTGGACACATCACTCAACCTCTCTGAAACCATTTCCTGAAACACGGGAGAATTACAGTAGTATCTTCTTCATAGATCCTACTGAGTTTTAAATGAGAGAATGCTTATCATTAGCACAGTGCCTGGTGTGTGGCAAACCTAAAAAAAATGTTGGTTACTGGCTATTACTTTTATTGTTTTAAGAGGAATGGGTTTCAGGAATGTTTTATAAATACTTCCCCCCCTTTTTTTTTAAGAAGGCTTCCTATATTAGCAGTTATTAAGTTTCACAGATACAATTGGGATATTCAGTGTGTCAGTTCAGTTTTATCAGTATTCACTGATTGTCTTCCATGGGCTAGAAACTGTTGGTCATACAAGAGAATTGTTTGTCGTAGTTCCCGCCTTTTACGAGTAGGGAGAGAAAAGCTGGTGCACAGCATTAGATGGCCACGCAGCATAATGACAGGCAGGTGCGGTGGGAACAGGCCAAGGGCCAGTGAGGAGGGCAGCATGGCCATGTGGGCAGAGAACGTGCAGTGGGCTCTGGGCACAGGTGCAGCCAGGCTGTAGAGGGCCTCGAATGCCAGCCCAGGAGTCTGGACGCCATCTGTAAGGAATTTCCACATCCTCTTCATCAGATCCAATTCTTACCTTCTCTTCCATGTCTGTTTTAGTCACAAGCACCTCTTCGGCAAAGCCCACCTCCCTCTCTCGCTTGATTCCCCGACCATCCTTATCAAAGACCT